ATGAAAGGATATAGCTATCTTGCCATGCTGGATATTGGTCAAAGGAAAGAAATATTGGTAAGCATTTTTTTCCCAGTAAAACCACGTCAGTTATTACTTAGAGTAACAAAGTATGTACTAAAGAATTCACTGGGCTGCAGGAAGAGAGATTTGCAATATACATCACACAGTGAATCACTGGATACATGCTCATTAGATATTTTTGTTTTCCCCAAATTCCTTCTGCACCTGTCTCTACCTGCATCCTTCCCCAACACAGAACCCAGGCACACTCTCTCTCCGTTTCTGTGCCCTCCTCCTCCTCCTCCTCCCCACCTTCCACCTCCTCTCTTCTCTGTCTCCCCTACCTTACTAAGTACAAAGTAAAATAAAAGTTTTTTTATGGCCTATATTTTTAAAAAGCCACTGTTCTTATACTCGTGATTTGAAGAACAAGAGGCACCATCCCCATGTGCCACCTCAGAGCTCCTGGTCCTCTTTCTCTCTTTGGGCGCGTGTGCTGAGCCTTTGAGATCTCCAGCTAGAGACAGGTGTGAAACAGACAAAGCTGGTCCCAGTGTCTCCCTACTGGCCCTGAGAGCTCAGCTTCTCTGCAGTCTCAGAAAAAGAGGCTATAGAAAACCCACCCCAACTGAAGTCTGAGTAAATGAGTGATCTGCACCTCTCAGGAGCATTTGCTTTTTACGCCAGAACCACAAGAAAAGGGAGTTTAGGGAAATGATCGTGGGGCCTGTGAACAGAAGGTTGGTTATTATATAAAACCAAATCTATGAATTAGAGAACAATATTGAGATTTTCCCCTATGATTCAAAGGACAAAGATCAAGACAAAAAGGGACAAGAAAATATATAATTCACATAAACATAGATAGGAGAGTTCCTATATCAATTTTTTACACACTTGTCTTGTTTTGTTTTGTTTTTGAGACAGAGTCTTGCTTTGTTGCCCAGGCTAGAGTGAGTGCCGTGGTGTCAGCTTAGCTCACAGCAACCTCAAACTCCTGGGCTCAAGCAATCCTCTTACCTCAGCCTCCCCAGTAGCTGGGACTACAGGCATGCGCCATCATGCCCGGCTAATTTTTTTTTTCTATATATATTAGTTGGCCAATTAATTTCTTTCTATTTATAGTAGAGACAGGGTCTCACTCTTGCTCAGGGTGGTTTCGAACTCCTGACCTTGAGCGATCCGCCCGCCTCGGCCTCCCAGAGTGCTAGGATTACAGGCCTGAGCCACCGCGCCCGGCCTCCTGTGCATTTTCATTCATCCTATTTCCCACACCTTAAATGAATTCTCCCTAAACTTCAACTTTTGAAATATGATGCATCCTTCGAAGATTATTCAAATACCATTTTGTCTACAAGCCTTAGTAATTCACTTCTTGTGCCCTCCAAATTCATCTTTCTTTCTGTCTAGTGTTTAAGGTAGCATGTCCTACTATCATGAATCTCTCACTCTGTGGTAGAAGCTTGGCCATCATCAATTTTTATACTGGTGCCTGCTTGGGTGCCAGGTGGAATTAATAGGTGTTCATAGATCAGGAACATCTCAAAGGGTAGCAGGAAAAAGAGGAGGGTGGTTATTCTGGTATCAATTTTCAGTCTTCTTTGTCCCATTGATGCATAAGTGTAATTCTGTCTTACGGACAATTGAATGGATTATTTGCTTGACCTCCTTCTCAGCAGATTTTATATCCTACTTTCCTTGAAAAACAGAGCTGTATAATAACTACCCCCAACTTCCTGCCAACCCACCTACAAAGTCACCTGCATCTGCACACATCATATGCCCTCCCCCACCTATCTCAAATTAATCTTTTCCTGGCTCTGAAACCCACCCTCTCACCCCTGACAAGAGCTTCATTTCATCAATTACTTCCTCTTTCTTCTAAATGTTTAATCTCTTCTTTTCTGCTGATCCTTTCCCTGTCTGCAAGGGAAGACCAACTACAAATATTTACATAAACTATTCTTACACCAAAACAGGTGTCCTGATAGGCCCTCAAAAGTAAAAACTCTGAAGAGCACACATGCTCAGGAAAGTACAGGAGATATTAATAAATCATAGACACACGTTGTCCAGATAAGACAGAATTATACTTATGCATCAAAGGGACAAAGAAGACTGGGAGTTGATACCAGAACAACCACCCTCCTCACGATCAGCTCTGCTATCCCTTCAGATGTTCCTCATCTATGAACACCTGTTAACTCCACCTGGCACCTGACCAGGCAACAGTGCACAGCTGAGGGGCCCTGAAGACCTAAATACCATGTTAGACCTCTCCTTATCTGGCGTTTATTTTCTAAGGGTCCATGATCTTCTTTCAGTTCCTCAAGAATTTCAACATCTCTCCTGCCTTGGAACATCTATACATGCCATACCCTCTGCCTGAAGCATTTTACCGTTCTTCTCCCTCTCTCTATACCTGTCTTGGTCCTGACTGGCTCCTCCCTCAACTTCCAGCACAGATATCACCATTTGCACCTACAATGTCCTCTAATCTTCATTTGTTTGTTTCTTATTAAGTGTCTGTTCTCCCTACTGGATTATAAACTCCTTGAGGACAGGGACTGTGTCTTGTTTACCATTACATTCTTAGCACCTAGCACATGCAAGGCACTCAGAAAAGTGTGGAATGAATATGAGTGAGTGAACTATATTAAAAACTAGGTCTGTGTTACAGAGGCTTTAGGAGAGGAAGCTTAGCAGACCCAAGGGTCTTATTTACACTACACAATCCTAAATCCCCTTCCCCTAACTACATGCCCCATACCCAGGTTCGGATGTGCCATTATCAGAATTGGGATCAAGGGAGGCATAGGTACACAGGTATACCAGGTGTCCGTCACAGCCCTCCAGATTCTGGTGTAGGGTGAAGGGCATAGTATCAGCAATTACAGTGGGAAGTAGAATGGTCATGAGGAACCGAGAAAAGTCATCTGGTAACTTTCATACGTCACCTCCAGGCCCCTGTGAGAAACCACTGCTCTAGGTATGTCATTCCTATACTTTGTAATAGTCCTCATATCTTTAGATGTAGCTGCTGGTCAGCTCACAAAGTCCTAACCTTTCAGCCAATCTCAGATGGTCTCTGTGCCCCACAGGTAGGTGACTACTTGTCTCATTAAAACTTTCTTCATCTTTAACGTTCTTATCCCCCATCACAGGGACCTTTAATCAATCATTAAACATACTGAAGCATTCTATTTGAAGGGGAGCTCTAATATTGAAAATGGGGAGGCAAAAGTTACTTCTAACAAGCCATTTAAGATTAAATGCTACCATCATTAATGTAGAACATCAGTAGCACCATTAATTTAAAATCTGGGCTCCCAGACAGAAATTTTTTCGGGGGAAAAAAAGTAGCTTTTTCATACGCAGTCCACACATTACCTATCACTAATCTCCTGTAACCACTTGTCTGTATCCTTTAGTCTTATTAAACAAGACAGGAGGGATGATAGAGTAGAGGTAGGGATGGAGGGGATAGGTTAAAAATGGTTTAGAGCAGAGTTGGCATTCCTTTCTTTGAACTCCAAATTCCTACAGCATCTCTTGCTTTTGGGAAAGCCTTTCAGGATGAAATAGGAAGCAAATCTAAATGTTATTCCTGAAGGTCCTCTCTGTTCACTAGTCAATGACTAAAACAATTTCCTGATCTGATTTATTTAGGACTGACATAGATAGGAACAGTTAAGGGGCTCAAGAAGAAGATTTTAACTGTAATGATTTCTGGAAAAGTAGACTGTGAAACTATTAAATAATTATTTGAAGTTTTTAAAGATTAAAAGATATCACATTTTAATCACACATAGGCCTATCAAAGAATAATTCAAATAGAAATGAAACTCAAAAAAATAAACATTGCCCCCCCCAGTGAGCTGATTTTTATTAAAGAAAAAAGTGATTTCTGGGGAATTTGTGGGTCCAAACAGCTTGTTGATTACCCAAGTAGCATGGAGGGAAAATACGAATCTTTGGAGTCAAAAGGATTAAAACTGATTAAAATCATGATTTAGGGTTGTATGATTTAAGCAGATTCTATAACCTATTTTGGCTTCTGAAAAATGGTAATATCTATTTTACAAGATTAGGAAGATTAGTTATGTTAATAAGAAGAACACTGCAAATGATAACTCTGTATGTGAGTATTTTCTATCAGCATACTCCATCTCCCGTGAATCAGAAGAGAGACTTTATTTCTCAATCCTGCTATTATGCAAGTGCCTCTTGAGTTTGGATTAGAAAGCTGTTAGCATGTGTTCCTTTTGTGACGCTGTTCTTAAATGTTACTTAGTCTAGTTGAAACCTTTGAAGATGTGACCTAAGATTAAGTACCCAGAAACATTTAAAGGCTACTAAGGCTTACATTTAATGTTTTTGTATTTCTTAAGTTGAATTTGTCCCCACCCCCTGCCCCATTTTCATTTGTTCCTCTCAAAACTATTTACTGGAATGACTCTTTGTCCTACAACAGAGAATTTTTCCATGATATTGTACTTACTAGTAGGAACGAGTGGGTCTCACACCCTTTGAGCACCTGATATAGCAATTTCCCTTCCTTTGGGCAGACAACAACTCCCAAAGAGTCCATTTTTTTTTAAATCGATATCTATTTTCCAATAAAGGAATTGCCAAAACAAAAGCTCTGATTTTTCAAATTGCTTTTAATGTAGCTAAAATCTGAAATAATTTATATTTTATTGGTCTCACTGTTGAAATGACAGGGTCTGGCTATAGGTTTTAATAAACAAAATCCCACACACACATATGCATACACACACCCTGGCACAGAGCCCACGTCACTGCAATCAGAGAAAAATAGAGTATACCTAAGCTGTGTGGCAGTCCCCTAATTAACGATCAAAACTCCTTGGAGCTAAGGTGCTGCTCTCCCAATAGACTGCTATTTTTATAATATTTGACTTTGAAAACAACAGCATGATTAATCTCACCATTCCTATTTAAATTACTTAGGTAGAAACAACAATGCACTTTGAGCGATTATTAAAAACACTTTATTATGTATAATTTGTACATGCTTCAATGTGTGTTGCTTAGGGTGATTTATTTTTCAGGTTGCGATGTCATCTACCAAGATTAACTAGATCTAATTTTCATTCTACCATGCCACATACAAAAATACAGTTTTCAAAGCAAAGTTTCCCTTCTTTACACAAAGGTACACAAGAGTTTGTCAGACAAATAAAATAAGAAAAGAATACTCTGCACACGTATCGACACCATACAAGGCATTATCCTTCACACAGCAACATCTAATGTGTTCTTTTATTCTTGAAACAGCAGGAAAAGAGCCCCTTCCCCTCAGAGGGAAACACAAACTTGATCTGTTGCTAAAGCCAAATTCCAGGGATGAAGGTGTGGTCCTCTCGCGGGGAAAGTCAGGGGTCTGGGGACGTATGGAGGAGGATGGACGCCCCTTCATAAGCACTTCAGGAGGAAGGAGTTGCAGGAAGTTCCTCGGGGACAGTCGCACAGCTTCCCGATCCTGGCGCCTTTGCGCACCGCGCACTGTTCCCCGGCGTCGCACTGCAAACAACACAACGTGTGGTCATCGGGCAGGAGCAAACCCAGGCTCCCAACAGGCCAGTCTCCCAGTCAACGCAATTTCTGCCTCCTGAGAGGGACGATTGGACTCCAGCCCCGTCACCAGAGGCCTAAGTATAGTTAGGCCTGAAACATAGGGAGGGAGCTTTGTGCTTATAATTTCAGTGAGAGGACATTTTTTAAAAAAAGAAATTTAAATTATTGGTCCCCTCTTACTTTCTTCCACCTTTGGTGGAAGGGAGCACGTTTCCTGGCTCCTTTTCTTGCACATTCAAAGGGGAAAAAAATCAACCAGACCTTTTTTCTAAGAAATAAACAACAGAGCTACACTTTCTCACAACCCCTGTTTCTTACTTTCCCACTTCCTCATCCCAAGAAGGAAGATTAAAGTGTGTGTGTGTGTGTGTGTGTGTGTGTGTGTGTGTGTACGCGCGCCACATGCGGTTGTGCATTTTACCGGGAGCAATCCAAGGAAGGTGACCAGCCCTGATTGAATCAAGAATTTTGATCAAAGAATTTAGATCAAAAACACTGGCTACACTCCGGAAGGAAGCAGGAAGAAATTGTGGGAGCAAGAACTGAGTTGATGCAAGGGGTCTAGCAACTCAGAGAATTCCTCCTGATATGAAACTAAAAGTTCATCTTCAGGAAATGCTCCTTCCCACACAGATTTTAGAGCTAGTTCCTGGCACACCTGTTCAATTCCCCAAAAGGCTGGTCTGCCCTTTGCCCTTACAGACAAGGGCTGGCAGCTGAAGCAAACGAGAGTCCTTAGAATCCTGCAAACCCATTACCTGTGTTATTTAGCCACATCGTAAGGAGAAGGTCATGTATAAGATTCAAGGCAGTGTGTTTTCTCATGTAAAAACGTGGCAGTGGTGACCTCAAAGCCTTACCATGGGGACTTGGCCGTACTTCTTCTCATAGATGGGAATACGTTTACTCTTGAGCTTCTTCAAGACTTCCTGCAGCGCTTCGATCTGCAACACACGCCCGGAGCCGAAGTTGCCCCTTGGCTTCGAGCCCAGCCCAGCTCACTTCCAGCCCTAGTTATAAGGATCCCGGACCCCCACACACTCTGGACGGGACTCCGCGGACTGCGGGAATGGTCTAGGAAGCGAACTTAGAGAGCGCTGTCCCAGTACTGACCGCGGTCCGACCGCTGAGGCTCCTGTGCTCCGAGGGGCCGGGACCAGGGATTCCTTCTAACGACTGCCTGGACCCTGTGGCTCGAGACGATCTTCTGGTGGCAGCGAGTGCCCGGCTCTGCGCTCAGGTCCCGCGCCCTGACTCTGGGAATGGAGATGGGGGCGGGGGAGGAAGGCATGCAAAGGAAGGGACGCGCGCACCCCGAGGGGTCCGGGGCGAGGGAATACCGACCAGCTCCTTCTCGTGGAGGCATCCTCCACGGCGGAGTAGATGTCCAGGGCTCGCGGCTGCAGCTCGGCGTCCTCCTGGGCGCGGGTGCCCAGCAGAGTAGCATCAGCAGCGGCGGCGCCCAGGAGGGCAGCAGCCGCAGGCGGGGGCTCTCCATGGTGCTGAAACTCGTCGTTGCTGGGGCACCCCGCGCTCCCGCCTTTTATAGCTCGCCGGAGCCCCGTGCAGGAAAGAGGGAGGGGGCGAGAAGGAAGGGGGTGTGGAGGAGGCCCGGGTCAACCGTCTGTAGGCAGCGCTCTGCCGGCGCTTGACGTCAATGCCCGCGGGCTCCAGGCGCCGGGAAGAGGCTTTGCGCACAGATGGGCTAGAGCGCAGAGAAACAGGACCCTGCGCCCCCAAATGCTGTCAGCCCCGAGCAAGGGACGCTCCCCGAGGGGCCTGAGCTGAAGCCACAGGGGCAAAAGGTGAGGGATGGGGAGCGGGAGGGGCCTAGGAAATGGAAAATGCCTTCGGGGCAATGCCAAAGCAAGAGAGTTGCTTCCCATCGCACAGCGGCGGTGGCACAGTCCGCCGGCCCTGCCTTGCCTCTCACCCAGCCGGAAGCTGGCAGCAGAAGGGGGTGTTGCCTCCAGACAGTCATGTTGTGGAGCACCTTACTAGGCACTCTGTGGGGTTGGGGAGGCAAATTTAGCACATAAAAGAAGGAGACATCATGGCCTTGCCCACAGTGAGTTCTAAGATGGAATGTGTGTGGTGATAGTGAGGAAAAACAGACCAAGCCCGACTTCGCAGCTGTGTGGGGAGTGCAGAGAACCGGACTTTTTCAGCCCTGGCTCCAATACTTAAAAGTTATATGACCGTGAACAAAATAAAGAACCTCTTCAGCCACAGGTTTTGTTTTGTTTCTGTTTTTGTTTTTTGGTAAGACTGGGATTGAAAAGAGTACCTCCACAAGGTTATCAGTTCAATGAAATGAGAGAGATTAGGTATGTAAAACTCTTGGCCCTTAGCACATAAACACTAAGCCTCCCTGTCCTCCCCTCTGAACGGTGAGGCTGCCCAGGTACTTTTGCAGTATCTCAGCTTTCCTCAGGGCAAATTCACCAGCCCCCACCACCCAAGAGCACCTGGCTCTCAAGAAGCCAGTGTAGATAAGAAAAGGGTAAAAAAGAAGCTCCCTGTTATGAAATATATTCAGAGGTCAAATGTTAATAGTAAGCCAGGTCTTTAGTAACTTGGGAAAACAATGTTGTTTTGTTTTTTTAAAGGTTAGGGTCCTTACAGCCTGAATGCAAATGAAAGTATCTGTAGAAGAAGGGATGCCTTCTTTCCCACTTAGACCTAGAAAAGGAATCCCACCTGCTTGCCACCTGGCTTCTTTCACCATACCCTCTTTCCCTCAACTGCTCCTGAATCCACTCACTCTTCTCCACCCTAGTCCTGGACAGGTCCCTCAGCGCCACTTAATGTCTACCCCTTAATCCCTTCCTCATCTTTTCTTGCCTTTCTTTAATCCACAATTCACTTGCCCGCAAGGGTATCTTCCCCTAAAATACACTAATAGCTCCCCATCTTACTAAGCATTGATTCTAAATTTCTCACCCAGACTTGCAAAGTATTACATGGTCTGCACCCCATCCCACCTCATGTTCTACCACTTTGCCCAGACACCTTCACTCCAGCCTCACTGACCTTCTTTTTGCTCCTCTAACAAGCCCATTTCATTCCCACTTTGATACCTTTGCACTTACTTACCTGGAAAGGTCTTCCTGCATTCCAAATGGCTCACTGCTTATTGTTATTTAATCTCAGTTTAAATGTCTGTGACTATTCATCTAAAGTATCTACCAGTTATTCTCCCATAATATATTGCTTGCAGATGATGTGGGTCATTAAGATAGTTTACACATAATATGTGTCTGGCTACCTCAATTATAAAGTATTTAATGTGTACTCAAATGCACACTGTGAAGTAATTCAAGAAAATAACGTCTCTTCTGATGAATAGCACACATATTAACAGCATCAAAATATTTTGCTTTGGGGTAAATCCAACTTGAAAATGTATCTAACACCTCCCCCAGATCTGCTTTTCACACATACCTTTGATTCTGCACAACAGAACTTTAGTGGCAGCTCATTTTACTGTTTAAACCTTATAGGGATGTATTGGCACTCATTGGCAAAAACCATCTCCAAAGATCTTAAAAGTGTTCTAAGCTCCAGAAGAAAAATAATGCCAAATAAGATTCGAGCTTATCCTTCCTCAAAATGGTGAATATTCCAATGCAATACTTTCTCTCAAATATTATTCTACCCAAACACAAGTCATAGCTTCCCTTTTTGCTACTTCTATGGGAGAACAACTCCAAAGTTCAAAATCTACTGATATTGGGTTGGTGTTATCATCATCATGTAAGGAGGGTACTCCTTTAGTTTAGGGGTTAGGGAAAGACTCTTGGACAACACTGTGAAGGAAGCGAGGAGTATCTTGGCCATTTACATACCACAATGTTTTCTCATCTTGAACAGAATGACTTTATGAATTGTCTTTATGAAGCACGGTATAAAAAAGCTAGGACATTTTCTTCCAAAGACACTTACATAATTTAAAACTAGAGAAGACACAAAAACATGAGGTGTTCTACAGTCCTTACATTACAGTCTTACATGAGATGTATATATTCTTTCTACATTATAATAACTCTATTAGTGGAAGAAAAAAGCCCACCTTTGATGTCCCCGAACAAGTAAAGAAAATCATAACTAGATTTAATCACTACTCTCATCATAGATATAGAAAAGGAGGCAGGTCACCTCGCAAAAAAAGAAGCAATGACCAGAATGTGTCTTTGGAGATTTACTGTGAACAAACCTATCTTAACCACTCCACCTAAGATAGAGTAGGCCTCTAGTTCTGCTCTTTAAATAGAGCTTCTGCTCAAGTAGAGAAATCTCATCAACAGAGAGCCAAGAAACTAGTGCCAGTAGGATCTACTTATAACATACTGCTATCTGAGAGAAAATGTGAAAGTCTGGGAAAACCTCTTCTTACTCAGTCTAACTCTTGGAGTTTGGAACCTTTCACTGTAAAAAATAACCCTTAAATGATTTGTGACTTGGCAAGAAAACACCAGTCTACTTTTTTTGTTAAAAAAAAAAACACCTTAAAATATAGGGGGCTTGTCAATATTACTTAATAATACTCTACAGCCCTAAGTTATTACGAAATTGAAGTGGTCATGGAGAATTAGATACCAAAGTGATGTTTTCCCAAGCTCCAGTATTTCTCCTTCCTTCCCTCCTTTAATTTTACATAATTTCTTTTCTCATTATCCCAGAATAACACTGGCCATTTAGGTTGTCATTATTTCTCAAATGTCTGACTACTTTGTTATCCATTAACCTTCTCTCCATTCCCTACCACCACCCCAGCCAAGTCTTGATTCAATAGTAAACTTCCTCAGTTTCATTCGCTTCCTAAATTTTATATTCTAAGACTGTTTCTCATATTTGTGTTATCTGCTGCACTCTCCTCAAGTTAAACATCACTCTGCTCTCTTTGGTGCACCATTTGCAATCTCTTAGGTGACACCTTTTTCATTTTCCTACATTGTTGTCGCTCTCCACCTCCCTGCCTCCAGAAGAGATTAATTCCCATTGACATTCATCTGTTTACTTCAAAGCTATCCAAAGGAACTGGAATTCACTGTGTTGCTAACTAAACATCTTTTCACTACTGAAAGAAAGAATCTGCAAGTAAAGGACACTTGGAGCTGGTGCTAAATTGGGAGGTGTTGGAGATGTAGTAAGAAACAATATGTACTTTACAGACTGCCTCTGAAAGGAGCAAAAGCAGGGAAAATTAGACAAAGCTTTCCAGTATTTTTTAAGCTTTTAATTAAGAGGTTTTTCAATTTCAAGACTCAGTTTTAAAATCTGGATGCCCTATGTGTTCACAACACTGCTAGGTATTACATGACTGCTGAGACCAGTTCTTGCCCTTTGGGGATCTTTGGTCTGGCACTGTCCCGAGATATCCCATAAACAACAACTTAATGAGGTGATAGTCCTAAGAAAGAAAAGAGAACCGAGAAGTCAGATAATTCCCTCTAGAGAAGGGAAGCATGTGAAAAAATGAACCTTGGAATGAGCAACTGGTCTTAGGGTGGGTGGGATTTCAACAATAACAGACATCCCACTCTGGGCCTTGGAGGCAAGTGGGCAGCAAAGTCAAGTCACAGAGGCAGGACATCTGGGGGAAACTGGACACTCTGGGTTGCTGGAGAGTAGGGTGCGTGGGAATGTGAGAGATGGGGAAACGGAATGAGAAACAAGACTGGAAAGAACAGGTGGAGCGAAAAAGAATCCAAAGCAGCAAAGATAGTTCCAAATTTGGATTCAATGAATAGGAGGTAGGAGCATAGTTGAACCCAAAGATTCCATTTTTCAACACTAATGCCAAACAAGCCTTTTTGTTTTTGGGTTTTTTTTTTTAAACAGAGTCCACTCTAGCACTCAGCCTAGCTCACAGCAACCTCAAACTTCTGGGCTCAGGCTATCCTACTGCCTCAGCCTCCCGAGTAGCTGGACTACAGGCATGCGCCCCATGCCCGGCTAATTTTTCTCTGTATTTTTAGTTGGCTTTCTTTCTATTTCTTCTATTTTATAGAGACAGGGTCTCACTCTTGCTCAGGCTGGTCTCGAACTCCTGACTTGAGCGATCCTCCCACCTCAGCCTCCAGATGCTAGATTACAGGCGTGAGCACCACACCCAGTCCAAAAAAAGCTTTTCACCTAAAAAGTCTAGCCTAAGAAAAGTGGGCCCCTGTCAGATACGGAGTAGCACTGACAAAGAGACACTTGCTCTAGGGCAAGGAAACCTCTCCCTGGATCCAGCGTAGAGCCCTTGCTGGAGTGCACCACCGGGAGTGGCATACTTAACCTACGCTTCCTACGCACGGCTAGTCCGGTCTGTCCTCTAACTTTTCTGGATCCAGACCTACAGGTTGAAGTTAATTTCTAGCACGGTATCTAAGTTTCTCATAATATTGTCCTGGCTATAATTCCATCTCATTTTCTCCCAACTCCAAAGTCTATCAGATATCTTTATTTTAATGTACACCATACTTCTTTCTTAATTTTGCACTGAATTAGAAGGAATAGACTAGGTTATGCTGCTGTAACAACCCCAAAATCTCAGTGGCTTTTTGAAAACCACAGCAGATATATTTCTCTCTCATGTTACACATGCATCAAGAGTTGATGGAGTGTCTGTTCTCATAATCACTCAGGGCCCGGTCTGACAGAATAGCCACCATCTCTAAATGCTGTTTTGTTCCAGAGGGAAAAAGAACTCTGGAGATCTTGAAAAGTAATTAAATTACTTATAAATTTCTTTGATACTTAATAAGTAATCAAAAGCTTTGAGCAAAGTGATACTTTACTTTTGCTTCCAACTGTTTAGCTGAATTAATCACACAGTTTCATCAAAAGGTACTAGGAGTACAGTGTTACCCAGTGCCTAGAATGCAAGATATAGAACAGCATTAATAACTACCACAGGTCTTTCCTTTATCCACACCCCTCCCTCATGCCTCGAGATGTCCTATGCTTTGAACATTAAAACTCATGCTTCAAACCACTGCTCCTCACACCACCAGGTCTTCTTTGCCTTTGGTTCTATAGATCTTTAATAATTTATAACATATATACATATTATTAACATATAAATGTCTGCCTCACTGGCATACAAGGAGATCCTGGAGGAGAGAGAATGTATCTAATCAACCTTGTATTCCCAGTATTTAGCATGTGCCTGATACAAAGGTGTGCAGAAGAAAGTTAGTTGCTATGAATAAAAGATAACCTGAAGACTTAACTATATGACCATTTAAAAAGCACATAATCTATCATGAAATAGATTCACAACAGTGTTAGAAGCATTGCCAATTTACTATCTAAAAACATCATTATCACCCTATAGAAGGGAAAAAATACCTGAGAGGTAATTGTCTGACAGCTAGTCAGTTTCATAAGTAGATTTCTGGAGTACAGACTATGGGCTCTCCCAACAGTTCCTGTAAAACTAAAGTGCATTTCAGTTGCAAAGATAGAAATTTTCCCAATGCAAACTTGCTGATGTGACTAGGAAAGAGGTATTGTCTCCCATTGTGCCACAGACTTCTGTGCTGCTCCTCCTCTCACACTCTTCAGTGCAATACGAAAGAAAACTGGGACAGGACCACATCTAATCTCTCTCTT